GTCTCATAATTTTCAAGTCAAGAAATTTTGACGAGAAATTTGTGTGTACAAGATCCTTGAGGCAATCTTTGCAAATTTTCTTCTATATAGATTAGACCTTCGTTGCATCTGTAGTAGTCCATCTAAAAGATTCTTACATCTAAGAAAAATATATGTTAGTACAGAAAATTATAATAGATATACATTAATACTATATCTTTACGTTATCTCAAATTTACGCCACATGTTATCTTTATGCTCCTGAGAAACTTGCTTCCATGTCGGCCACACTGAAGTTGCTTCTGATAATCAACGTAATTGTCAGAGTAACGCCAGTCTCCTCAAAAGTAATGCAAAATAAACTTATTGTTAGTAAAATGAATAAATTAATTAACTAAATTGACTGCATATAATTAATGATATAAATTGAAACAGAGGAAATTACCTTCCTCTGAGAGGATGTAGAAGTATCTATTGGTTTGGATTAGTTGGAGTCGGCAAGCCAAAACTCAGCCCTCGGCCCCTAGCCTGCAACATGCACTTGGACACAATAACAATGTCCTGAATGGGGGTTTCGACTAAAGTAGTCAAACTCGACATCAATACCTCTGGCCATAACTGAGTATCGGTGTTGGAATGGGAGTCTGTGGTCTCCCTTAACTTAAGCATGCTTTGAAAATAAATTTTTGAATGCTTTACCCATGGCTTCTGTTAGTTAAAGTTCTATTACGCAAGTATATGTATCGAATAGATAGTATATAAGTTAGTAGAGTATCGATCTTATAGAGAATTGATCTAAAATTTTACTAAGTACTAAATTAGAACAATTTAATCTTATCCAAACAATCAGTATCAAATAAAAAAATTAATTAACTAAAAATAATTAACTAAAATTTAAACAAAAAAGAAAAATCAAAATAATAATAACTTTAGTGAAAATTAAATCAAACAAGACTAAGATTACAATATCTCTTTTACTTTATCTAAATCTTAACTCTCTTCCTTAACTTATTTCAATGAGTTGAATTGCTAACTTAGAGTCCTCAATTATTTATGAGGGTCTTTTGACTCGTTTTATAAAAATATTTTTTTTAACCAAAACATTATATCTTTATGTGAATTGAAATTAAAATAGACTCATTAAATTCAGGTTCTAATCTAGCTACATATAGCCTATAGGTATATCCTTATCCTATACGTAAATCAATTAATATGATCATATACTATCTCAATTTTTAGTTACACTAAATTCCCTTTCCCAAGTTTGTTTAGATTCTTAAATCAATTTAATTGATGGGTACGTAATTAAAAGCATTAAAAACAAATTAGAATAAACAATTCAATTCCTTTGAAAATAAGTAAGAAAGAGATTAAAAATATAAATTACATCTGAGTTCAATTATAACCCTAGAAAAATAGTTTAGTTCATAATATCTAATAAAAACTTCATCCAAAGAAAATTAAGCATTAATCCAAATCAAAGAAAATTAAAAAAAAACACAAAAGTAAAGAGAGAAAACTAATAGTTGAAGCTTCGTGATCTTGATTCTCCCTCTAATTCTCTTACCTTTTTACTTTGTTTTTGACTTTATTTCTCTAGAGAAATTGCTTGTCGCCTCTTCCCAGAAACCTCTGCAAAAGGTCCCTTAAATAGCCTCCAAAAGCCTTAACTTTCAAAATTCTGTAAGCTTGCTATTTTTCAAAAATACATTGAGCACTACGACTCTCATTTTCCAGAGCCCCGACTCTCAAAGGTTAATGGGATAGCAAATATTTATATTTTGATTGAGAAATATTGAAATTTTTATAAGCACATATTAAGGGAGAACATATATTAAGGGGGAGTAGTCCTTCACTTGCACATATGTATAAAATATAAATATAGACATTGCACTCTTAATCTAAGAGTTTTTGTCATCATAAAAAATAAGAAAAAGAGAGAGAGAGAGAATATTGATTCCATTTACTTTTGATGATAACAAAATATTCTTATTCACTGGTGTTTAATTATATTATTTAAGTGTGTAGGAGAAAGCTTAAATTCTTTAATATATTTGTTGTTTGAAAGCAAGTCAAGAAGCTTGCTGTATTACAAGAACAGTTAATAAGTTAAAATAAGAAAGAGCAAAAGGCTAAGTGAAAGCAAAAAAATGTTAATTGATTAACATGAGGCCTTAATCAATTAAGGCTATCCAGAGTGCTATATAAAAGAAAGACAGAAAAGTCTTAATCAATTAGCACAAGATTTAATTGATTAAGAGGGTATTGAAAGTGAAACACAAAGCTTGTTAATCGATTAAGCAAAGGGATTAATCAGTTAAAGTTCAAGTTTGAAGTACCAAGAAGTGTCAAAATTCAAATTCAAAGAGTGAGTAACTGTTAAAGGGAGCCAAAATGAAAAAAATTCAAATTCGAAGAATTTTAATTAGTTGAAACTTATTTTAATTGGTTAAAAATGAAAGAAGAGAAGCTTCAATCAGTTAAAGGGAGGTCTAACTAATTAAGGAAGACTATTGTTGGAGAAATTTTGAAACAGAACATTCTTAATTGGTTAAAGTTATCTTCAATAGGTTAACACAGTAAAAAGGGCCAAAAAGTGCAAGTCAAAGAAAGTTTAATCGATTAAAGCCTACTTTTAACTAGTTAATAGAATACTGTCTACACATTTTAAGCACAAAAGGACAAAATAATAGTTAGAAACTATTTGTAACAGTTAGTTTCTATCTCTAATGGCTAGATGTGATCTTTCAAGTATTTAAAACCTCTTCAACAGTCAAAAATGGTGGAGAGAAGATATCCAGCGTGATTTTGAGCTTATAAGACCAAAAATATTTTTTTAACACTTGTATTTTAATCCTATCCTTTAAGAAACTGTTTGAGCTTAACTTTATACATCTTAGATCAGCTAAGTGATCAATTGTACTTTATCTTTTTTTATTTTTTTTTTACTTAGAGTGTGAGAGATACTTTAAGGGCTTGGAAATTCTTGTAAGGGTTTTGAGTTTGAGATGGAAGCTCACTTTATAAAAGCTTGATGGAAGCCGTCAATTTCACTAATTTAGTAACATTGGGTTGAAAATCTTTGATTAGGGAAGATCAAGATAATGAATGTAGGTCAAGAGAATAGAACTATTATAGATATTTGTGTTTTATCCACTTCTCTTTATCTCTTTTTTACTTGGTGATTTTCTGCATTTACAAGTTTCAATCTTTTTTTTTCAAAATCCATTTCAATCAATTTTTTTCAAGGGCTAGTCACTCTCTCTTTAACACTCTATTGGGACCAACATTAGTTTGTATTAATTTATTTATGTTTAGATTATTTGTATATTTTATAGTTATAGATAAAATTTATAAATTTCAAAGTTTTAATTTACAAAAGATAAAAGTGATAAAATTTTGAATCTTTCGATCCATAGTTGAACCAATCGAACAAATTTGGTCTTCGATTTTATCCTTAAGTTTGGTCGATTTAGTTATTTTTTTAAAAATTTGATTCATTTAGTTCTTGGTTATGGCATACCAAACCAACCGAACCAATCATTTACTCAACCCTAAATGCAAAGAAAAAAACCCCTCAAAAAATTGATCCCATGTTTATGAATTACTATAATAACATAATTATGATCGTAAAGGATATGTTTCAATGAATGTTAAACAAATAACTCGAAACTTGATTATATTTTTTGTGGGATTATTATTTCACATCAGAGATAATATTTATAAATTTCATAAACAGATTTATGTTTAACATTCTCATATTGTCTAATTTAAAAATATTACAACTTTCATGCAAGTGTTTTTACTTAAATTATTTAAATTTAAAGAATATATATAAAAAATTTGGTATTCTTAATAATTTAAAAAACTATTTTAACACATGCCATGGAAGAAATATAAAAAAATAAAAGAAAGAAGGTTCTTGCTTGTGAAAAACAATCTTAAAATATTTCTCAACAACCACGTCCAAACGCCTCAAAAATCTTAATAGCAGCAAATTAATTAGCTTCATCATGGTCATCACCAACAACACACTAACCATTGCTTTTTTGGCTTCCTCAGCACAAAACACTAACCGTTCATGGGCAAAATTATGCTGATGTGGCAAAAAATATAAGGAAAAAAAAAAAAAAGCAAACAAAGGGGGCCCGGACCCCAGCACCTGACCCGTCTTTCTTTCCTTCATAACTACTTCATATTTTGTCGTGGAACTCGACGAGAGACAGCGAAACCGAAAAAAGGCAACAATGCAACTCCCACTCAAATCAAATTGAAGCTTACGTCTCAAATCACGCCACACCAAGAAGCGTTTCTCGCTGGCCATCGTGAGAGGAAAAAAATGGGCGTGCCGCAGGCAATGGAGGCATTACGGGAAAGAGCAGCGCTCGTCAGAGACTCGTTGCAGAAGAGTCAAACCATAACCGAAAGCATGGTCTCCATTCTGGGTTCCTTCGATCACCGACTCTCCGCTCTCGAGACCGCCATGCGTCCTACTCAGGTCTCTTCTCTTCATTTTTGTCAATGACGTTGAATCTCTCGCTTCTTTCTTTTTTCTTGGGTCCGATTGAGGAAATGAGACATCTTTTTTGTTTGAACTGAGAGAATTGTTAGGGTTTTGGTTCTGAATTTTGCTTTTCCTTTTGTTCTTTTTTTTTTGGTTTTACGTAGATACGAACGCATTCGATCAGGAGAGCGCATGAGAATATTGATAAGACGTTGAAAGCAGCTGAAATTATTTTGGAGCAATTTGATCTCATGCGCAAGGTTTTTCTATTCTCTGTTTTTCGCTCATTTACAGTTCTTCAATTAATTTATAGCAGAGTTTCCTATTAGTAGCAGCTCTGTTTTCAATGTATTTGATCATAAAATAAGCCTAATTAGTATTTGTTTATTCGAACCATTTGGGGGCTTCTGACAGAGATAATATTTTATTTGGTAAAGGAGGATTGTTTATGACTTCTACTTATTAGTGAAAATTTTCATTAGATCGCGGAGAGTAGCTCGAAGAGAAAGTTTAAAGTTTAAAAATGTGATCTCTAATTTGTAGTTTTTTTTCCAGTGCGAAACATAGAACCTGAGATTCTTTTGAAAAGGGAAATTTTGTTACTGTCCTCTCATAAATACCATATGATTTCGAAATATAATTTTTATGTTTCCACTAATTTATATATAATATAGGCAGAAGCAAAGATTCTGAGAGGGCCACATGAAGACCTTGAGAGCTATCTAGAAGCAATTGATCAGCTGAGAAGCATTGTTCAGTTTTTCAGCAACAACAAAAGTTATAAGAGTAGTGATGGTATACTTAACCACGCCAATAACTTACTCGCAAAAGCTATTTCGAAATTAGAAGATGAGTTCAGATCGTTATTAACAAATTACAGGTTGGTTTTAGAATTTTGTGCATGACGCTGATATGCTGGATGACTGTTTTAGAATGGGAAATGTTTAGAATCTTACGTGTTGAGTGAATTTCAGTAAGCCGGTGGAACCTGATCGCCTTTTCGATGGCCTACCAAATTCCCTACGACCATCAGCAACATCACCTGGCAAGCAAGGTGAACTTGGCAGCAAGAATCATTCTGAGAACCAAAAGAACTTAGAAAATGCTGTTTACACGCCTCCGACTCTTATTCCGCCCAGGGTTCTACCTTTGCTGCATGATTTAGCCCAACAAATGGTTCAAGGTGGCCACCAGCAACAGCTGTTCAGGATCTACAGGTGATACCTATTTCCATGGTCTGATACTAAGATGTTTATTATTCTCTTCTTAGTAATTATAGCTTTTCTACTTCATGAGTGTTTGGTTTTGGAATTCATATGTGCAATGAGGAATACCTGAAGAATTATATTATTAAATGTTAATTGCATTGCTTTTCATATTTATGCTCAATACAAGTAGTGAAAAGCACAGTCTTGAAGTAGGCAGAGTGTAAAATCTCAGATTAGCGTATCAAATATTGTCTTGGGACTTTTTGATTCTGGAAAGTAGCTAAGCAAAGATACAACAGCAAAGCAATGCAGTGTGAAAGATAGCATTTTGTTGCTCAGGGTAACTCAAATTTTCCTGGTCATTTGGTGCAGATCTCAAAGATAGACTGGGTAGGCTTAGGGATCTGTTTCAATCACTGATGTTGGCATTTTTCAGAACATCTGAATAACAGATATCTCCATCTGTTTAACTTTGCACAAATTCATGCAGAAGTTCAGTGCAGAACTTGGCAGGATAAATATCTTTTGACATTCATTACTTATTAGATTTCTGTGCAGACAGATTAGTTTTTTGGTTGAAAAAGACATTGATCGTTGTTTGGATTTCAGTTTTGGTGCTTTAGAATCTTGAATTATTGATGCCAATCATATGATATTTCTAAATTCTAGGGATACTCGTGCTTCAGTCTTGGAACAGAGCCTCAGGAAATTAGGTGTAGAGAGACTTAGTAAAGATGATGTCCAGAAAATGCAGTGGGAGGTTTTGGAGGCTAAGATCGGGAATTGGATACATTACATGCGTATTGCTGTAAGGATTCATGAGAAATTCTGCTGCATTAATTGTGTTTGACTTCTTTTTTCCTACCTTATGATAATGCTTGACACAGGTTAAACTGCTCTTCGCTGGGGAAAAGAAAATCTGTGATCAAATACTTGATGGCATTGATTCTCTTAGGGATCAATGTTTTGCTGAAGTCACTGCAAACAGTGTAGCCGTACTTCTTAGCTTTGGAGAGGCTATTGCCAAAAGCAAGAGATCACCTGAGAAGTTATTTGTTCTTTTGGATATGTATGAGATAATGAGAGAACTACAGTCAGAGGTATTAATAATTTTTCTTGTTGCATATCCATAGATTTATGATCAAAAAAATTATTTGCAAAAGTATAAGTTGATTCGTTCATCTGAGGCATCTCGAGTTTGTTTTTCCTTATATACATGAAAAGCACACTCTGATGATCATATTTTCTATTTTGTTGTTAATCCATTTAATCATGAGTTCCCTTTCATAGATGTTGTAATTTATATTGGGTTGGTATCAATTAATCATGAGTTTGAAAAAGGGTTGGATCACATGTGTATTAAAATGATTTAAAATCATGGAAGAAAACTAAATATTTTACATTGTGTTGAACTTGCAGTTATGTAATTAAAGGCTAGGATCAATATGCATTAAAATGACATAAAATCATCGAGAAAAACAAAACATTTTCATAGTTATTAACTAGCATTGGTGTAATTGGCTCAAGTAGCTATGTGCTATGATGACATTACAACATGCATTATAGGGGCAAATGCAAATTGATTTACAAGACTGTCTAAGCTGACACTTTTTTCTTCTTCCCTTCTCTCTCTCTCTCTCTCTCTCTCTCTATGGGGGCATGTGAACAGATTGAGTATTTGTTTGGGAGTAAATCTTGCATTGAAATGCGGGAATCTGCTCAGAGTTTGACAAAGCGGCTAGCTCAGACAGCACAAGAAACCTTTGGTGATTTTGAGGAAGCAGTTGAGAAAGATGCCACCAAAACTGCTGTTCTTGACGGAACTGTCCATCCTCTGACTAGCTATGTGATAAATTATGTGAAGTTTCTATTTGAGTAAGTTGTAATTTTCTGCTTTTATCTACTACTAGTTTTAGTTGGTATTCTTTTATCCTTGCTATATTATGTCATTTCAAATTGTCTGCTACAAGCAATTTTTGGATGGTCGATCACTTTGATTTACTGATTGCACAAGGCATGCTTGCTATGTTTAATGTGGAATATTCTAGTATCATATATTGAGAACCATACCAACTTGTTTGTGATCTTGAATTCACTATGTGTCAGCGATTACCTTCTATGTCCTGTAATTGCCTCTGCTTTCTTTTACTCTTCCTTTCTTTTCATTTTTTGTTCTTCTTCATAAATCTGTTTCTCTTGAAGTCGCTCTTAGCATGTGTTGGAAATGGCCAAGTGATTATACCCCCTCTCAATCAAAAAAAGAAAAAAAAAAGAAAAAGAATCTATTTGATCATTATACATCTGAATGTGGTTGTTGAATTGTGTAGCTACCAATCAACACTGAAGCAACTTTTTCAAGAGTTTGATGATGGTGATGCTGATGCTCAATTGACTAATGTAACTACAAGGATTATGCAAGCTCTACAGACTAACCTTGATGGGAAATCCAAGCAATATAAGGACCCTGCACTTACACAACTATTTCTTATGAACAATATTCACTACGTTGTGAGATCAGTGCGAAGGTGTGTTTTATATTTAGCTTGTTTTGTTGGTGATGATTCACATTACACACTTGTGTGCGTGTTTAATTTTTATTTACAGGTCAGAAGCCAAGGATTTGTTGGGAGATGATTGGGTTCAAATTCACCGACGGATTGTTCAGCAGCATGCAAATCAGTATAAGAGGATTTCTTGGGCAAAGGTTCTATTTCCTGACTTACTGTGCAGTATGA